CACATGACCTGAAACTTCAGCTTTGAATTACGGAACAGCATTCATGGACGTGTTTCGCTGAAAACTATGTTTCCTGTGAGATTTGTCACAGACAAAGATATTTCAAGAATAACAAGTGATTCTGTGATACAGCGATCATTTCCTTAAACAGCGTTAACGAATTGATCATCGTAATGGTGAAGTGTGGTGTTTTCTTCGCGGTACGGACTGAATATTTAAATATTATTTATACGAGCTGCGGGTTTAAAGGGTGAACCAGTTGATCTTTGTAATGGTGAAGTGTGGTGTTTTCTTCGCGGTACGGACTGAATATTTAAATATTATTTATACGAGCTGCGGGTTTAAAGGGTGAACCAGTTGATCTTTGTAATGGTGAAGTGTGGTGTTTTCTTCGCGGTACGGACTGGATTCTTGAATAATATTTCAAAATTTAGACGAGCTTTTGCTTCAGACGGTTAATTTTTCCTGTAAATCACACCTGCAATTTGCAAGATCTGTTACAGTAGAAATTTCTCAGGATGACAGAAACGGAAATGGAGCAGGGAAGGAACCTTTGCGACGTGTGTCCCGTCCACCTGTAGCTGCGCGTAACAAATGAGAAGCAGAAAGTTTCATCAATCACACCCAGATGAAGGGTAGATTGCGATCGACCGCTGGCCGCCCTCCCGGAGGGGCGTGGGGGGGGGGTTACATTGTGCCACATTGCGTGATGTCAGCCCTGATAAACAGGCATATGCCCCCTTCCTTCGCGCTGTTCACTTATTTATGTGCCGGAGTCATTTAGTGAATTTCGGAAATATTTTATCTTCTTACGTAAAGATATTTCTACCTATTAATAACCGGGAAAAGCTTTAAAGAAGTTGGTGAGATTTTAGGTTCTCGCGGCAGCAATTATGAACACGACTGTCTTCTGCTCTTGACTGAACGCCAGCGAAAGACGCCTTAACGTGTTGTGCGGGACTGCATAACACAGAATTCGAAGGCAATGGACATTCACAGCGAATACAGATTTAAAATTTACGTTTTTATATCACGACGGCATTCCGATGACGATGTTTATACGCTGTACTATATTTGGGTTACTGCTGAAATAAGTTGCTCGCATATATTTGTCACGTACTTGAATTTTGCCATATTTTCGAAGGATATGCATTTTTCCCTCGCTTTACGATGATTTCGATTAAGGATATTTTAATTAAAGATCCGGCTCCTTAAGCCCCCACTGATTCTACAAGTGATTAATTTTCGATTAACGATATATTCATGTCCCACTCATCTGATCTTCAGTGAATCACCCAAACGGTGTCAGATTAATGGAACATCCTGTGAATCTATTCGTTATGTGCGTTCATCTCGGTTTCTGTTCGCCAATCGTCGTGACAGATGAAGCGTCTAATTGCGCTGTCACGTGGTGAC